ATGTTGGAGGACACCCATGAGCGCGGTATGATGCTGTCAAACCTGGAAACTACTACTGTTAACAAATTGAAAAAGAATGCATAATTGATTTTGGATTGTAAGGGAGGATCCCCCAGCGTCCTTTAATAACAAATAGTAAATATTTGACGACATAAGTTAAAAATACTAGGTAAATCTTGGCATTTTGAACCTAATCGGGTCGTGTTGATTTCAAAAGACACTCGGCACTGTTCGTGGTGGCAAACAAGTCTGGTTTACATCATCTCGGGCTTTCTTCCCTCATCAACCAGCCCAGCCGTGATGCAAGTTATAGACACAAAGACAAGGATATATGATTTTTTCTAGCCTACGTATACGAATCAGCAAAAGTAACCATCTTTCTTGATAGATATTTATATATTCTTTGAACATATTTGGAATATTTTTAACCTACAAATTGGAAATTGTTTTCCCAGTATGATCTACATATCTTCCCTCTTGGTTGCTTAAAGCAGTTTTGATCACACAGAATTAGTAAATTCTAAAAGTGTCTGTTCTTTTTTTCAAATCGTTGTAAATAAATAACATAAAGCAAAACTTGAAAATACATTATTTAAATACCATCATACTTTGTATTGAAAAAAATCAAACTTTCAAAACCTGAGAACATGTTTTTGCTCTGGTTAAAATTGCAGCTAAATGAAACATGGACAGACGTTCAATCTTCAAGGACAGGAGAAAAGTTAATTCGTCTCCATCATATATTTAATAAAGAATTGGTCAGAAACATTTTTCTTTGAGTATATTTTTAACTCTCAATCCCTCACTGCTACATTTTCCTAGGTTTTCTTTGAGCGAGATTTATGGTTGTATGGTGGCAATTATATTGAGTGCTGTGTGAACCCCCTGTTGCTCTGCTCACATTTTACGGTGCAGCGAATTACCTGTGTCTATTAGGCTTGGGAGGATGGAGAAAAGACGTTGGCGACATGGGCAGCGCAACAACGTCAACTACGGATCGATAACACACCGCGTTACATGTAGGGCTTCCCACCATGATAGAAATGAGTATTGATTTTGTCCTTGCACGATCTCCGGTCAAACACGACATGGAATAGCTGGCCGAATCAACATGTCACGATATGTCTGAGACACGGAGCTATTGACACTTCAGCTGTTTCAGCTTTCGTTAAACAAAGAGTGTCGGACACTGTGTGGTTGTTAGTTACAATGAACATAGACGTGTGCTTGTCTGATTATACCTCATTATGTCTGATAACCGAGTTAGTGTGACAACTCTAGAATGATTAATTCGTCGCCACGAGACAGTTAATTTCTGAATTACGAGTTCCCAGTATCATGATATTAAGGTAAACCGGAAACAATTTCAAATCTCGAAAAAAATAAGTTTTTGCAAAAGTCTTCCTCCCCTCATTTGTCTTTATCCTCGAGAGTGTTGTGGAAAGGGATGAGGTGCTATAGGATTTAACGTCGTGTGCATGATAATTGTACTTGTATAGCAACCTGCATTCAATTGTACTATAGTCCGTTTGGCTCAAAAGCGGACCGATGAATTGCAATCTAACTCGAAAACTAATAAACATATAATACTCAATGAAACACTGATCATAATTAAAACGTCAGACCAACTATGTGAGGTTTTTGCAGAATTAACATCCTAAAAATAAAAAACTTGTTTAACAAACTATCATTAACTAACTATCTATCCATCCTTTCTCGCACACCTGGCTGTCCCTTTCTCTGCACTCCTCCCTCGTAAGAAATAGTGAACTGTGTCAAAATCTAAATGATAGTTTGTTAAACAACTTTTTAATTTTTTGGATATAAATTCTGCAAAAACCTCACATAGTTGGTCTGACGTTTTAATTATGATCAGCGTTTCATTGAGTAGTATATGTTTATTAGTTTTCGAGTTAGATTGCAATTCATCGGTCCGATTTTGAGCCAAACGGACTATAGTCTAGATCATGTACTTTGTGTACCCCCTAACAAGGGCAAACTGACAAGACTCCCATGGCCGAAGGTATGAACACACAATGCCTTTTAGAAAGTGGTAAACATATTTCATATTTGGGAAACTTTTTCTTGTAAAATACAAGGTATATAGAGATCCTTACAAGTGTAAGTCATGATCAGAGCATGGGACTCAACACCCCACCCCACCTACACGAGAAATTATAATTAGCTGTGAATAAGCCTGACTTGGAGTATCTAAGTGTAATCCCAAATATAACACTTTTATCATATTGATTATAGGTAACAGTATGACCATTGATAGCAGGTTCGAATCCCACCGAGATGTTTCAGCCAAACTGTATCACACATGTCCTTCTGCACACTGGATATAACTTGAATACTCTTTTAAGTTGTACCCTGTCACTGTCTGGCTCATAAAATAATTCACATGACTTGAACCATCTACGACACTTCGTGTGCGTGTGCGTGTGCGTGTGCGTGTGCGTGCCATTCCCAGTTATATTGCGACTGTCACATATGAGTTATAATGGGCGCAAAAGGCAATCAGTACCAAAGTTGTGGCAAGGATTACAGGAAACACTGACACCAGGTGGGTGTTTCGTGAGGAGGGGAAGTATCTTTTGCTTAATCGGGAAAGAAATTATATACATCAAAATTGGATTTGAAGAAAAAAACAATTACAAACGTTCTGAAGACACTACCTGGTAGAAACAGTTGCAGAAACATTGATATGATTGAAGGGCCAAAATAGAAATTCAACATCCATATGAAATACATCACCATTGATTAGCTAGCTATTCCTCGTTTGTTTTATTGTTGCACACCAGCAAACATATGTATAAAGTTCCTTTGCCTTATTATTTTAAAGTAAACGAGTTGAAATTGAAATGAGAGAATCAGTCCAAAATGTCATCACAAACGAAACAGATCCTAACTAGCTTAATATCATTTAATCAAAATGGTAACTGCAAAGTATCTTGAATGAATACTTTATCTCTTCTAAAATTGTTGCAGCCCTACTAAAGGAGCCATCGTTTTTGTAATAATATGTGTGTTGATATTTCAACATCGCTTGTTTGCAATGAGGCGCCAATTGTTAACCGTTTCTTCTCCTTGAGAGGTAATATATCAGCGAATTTTGATTCTTAATTTGTTTCTGAACAAACTATACATGGAACTCAGAAAACGTCCCTGGTGTTCTTCTAGGACAATAATGTTAGAAATCATTAAAATCATGCATATGAAAGGTGCATTCGTGAATTTGGACATAGACTTGTGGTTAGCGAAAGGCTGGAGACTGTGACGCTAAAACATTTGGATAACAATTCAGAGCTAATCGTTGCTCCTGCTGTAGGTGCAAGAATTGGTTCATTCACCTTATGAATGGGCGAAAATTAGCTTCATTAACCTTTTGAAATGACAAGAAGTAGCTCTGAAACGTCGTATAAACAATAAAATGAAGTTGTTATCCATACAAACATGTCATGTATTTAAAACGATGAAGTCTGTGTTCGTGCCACTTAACGAGTATCGTGCTTTACAAAGACAACTCACAAACAATTCCGTTCATACAGTATGATCAGTGTTCGCAAACATCATATCATATAAACTCAGAAGTAAACAAGATAACCAAGGTGGGTGTGAAGTCTTCATTCGTTGCAGACAATCCAGGAGATAACTTTTAACATAAATCCCATTTAACCAATCAAGCCATTTTATTCTGTACTTACATACTTATGCATTACAACAAATATGGTTTCTCCTTAGGACGTTTATAGTTTGATTGACCTTTTCATTACAGCTGGGTTTGAAACTGTATGCATTATGAACAAGAGGACTTTCGCAACATAAAATTAGCCACCATGACGGTATTCGAATTTAAATAATAAATAAATTTACAACCAAAGAAGTACTAATAGCATGATTCTAAACTTCAGATCATCTTATTTTTCAGTGAGTGAGTTTAGTTTTACGCCGCTTTGAGCAATATTCCCGCAATATCACGGCGGGGGCCACCAGAAACGGGCTTCACATATTGTGCCCATGTGGTGATTCGAACCCGGGTCTTCGGCGTGACGAGCAAACGCCTTACCCACTTGGCTACCCCCCGCCCCTTCCTATCTTTCAGAAGGGTTCAGGATGTTAAGTGTTAAGACATTTACAAGATTGATTGAATACACTCGGTAACTTGCTTTGTGCTTAATAACGGTGGTCCAGGTGAATTTGGTGGCAATTTTCATGTAAGATAAAACCTAAACACCTCTCTCCACACACATGGTGGATCTCTACCAAAAGTAGAGTCGATCGTAAGATTCCGACTGCATCATAAGCATGTCCATTTGTATGAGCGTATCCTGACTCACCGGTTTCACCAGGCACAAACACATGCAAGTGCAACTCAATTCTTTATAGAATACAAACCCATGAACATACGGTTAAAGCAGAAATAAGGAATCGCATCAAACATCACTTTTGTCACTGTTGACCTATATTTGGAAACATCCTCCACATGTCTAACAATAAATTTTGAAAGCTTTACTGAACCCTTGAATATTGTAACCTTGATCAAACAATTTCTCAGCAAGAGCCGTATGAGCTCTTTGAAAGGTCAACAAGATTCAATCTGAAGTATAGTTCTGATCTGGTATGACATAAATACCTGAACATTTATGTGTTTCATTTTCGCCATAAAGACAATGGCATACAAAGAAGCATAATATTATGTAAATATATTCATTTCGGTAACGAAGATCAAATTATTTGTATTGATTTCTCTAGCTGGCATTTTTGAAACACAACAGTGTCTCTGAAATGGACGTTGTTATATAATTTATTATATTACAATGCAGTACCACTTGACAAAATGGTTCAGTTGAATAGATTTACAACACTAAAAGCTCAAATCTAAAACAGACAGAGCTTTCTTTTCACATATCAATTGAATTTAATTGTGTTTAAAATAACATGCTTTTCACACAGTGACATTAAATCACGTCAATGTGGTCGAGTAATTTTCAGTTCCAGTTTCATGCAATTATATGTTTTCTATTTATAAGTATTGTAATCAAATGATGAAATACTCTGTAACATATCTGTAATATGCATGTAACGGTACCAGAAATGTTGAAAAATATAGGACCGTTATACAAAATAAACGTTCTTCAGTTTTGTGTTTTCATAGGAAATATATTACAGCTATAAAAACACGGGGACATCATGATCACTGTTGTTTTACTTTGATGAAGAGCATTGATTAAGAGCCATTCATTTTCTGTTCAATTTCAATTATAAAAATAGTGACCTTTCCAACGTGCTATTCAAATATCAATGTTAATAATATTAAAAACATAGGGGCATCATAATCACCGCTATAAAAAGTAGAGATATAAATTGATAAATATTTTATATTTTTATATTTAATATTTTGAGAATCTTCTGCATTTCGATTTCAAGAAAATGGTGACCTCGCCAACATGTTATCACAACATCAGTGTAATTAATATGTAGCCAGTAATATTTGGAATTTGTTAATTAACAATGCAAGAAGTTTCATTTACAGATGGTAATTTGGCGCTGAGAAAGAATTCTGTTTAACTTGTGGATTAATGACCCGTGTTAACACTACCACTGAGGTACTACCAGTAGATGGGACAGGTTGAGTGACAACACACAGCACTACAAAGAGGTATCCTCATAACAGCCATGTTGTTTTGTCAATCGATAAAATGTTCTGTCAGTGCATATAGTTATACCCCTGTTGATTAACACAACGTAGAAAATATTAGCACACATCACTAAGCCGAACCAATCTCTGTTAACATGCATACTCCCAAATTGATATGCTGTTTTAATGGCATCAACAGGTCTCTTCTCAATCATGAATCTGATGACTGCACCGTCTGATTGTATGAACATTGTGATCCGAGTATAAATGTAGACAAATCCATTACATGGGGAAACTGTTGAAAATATGATGTGGCTGTCCTGCTCACTTGTTATTCACTGTCTGCAGCTTTCTACCCCAAGGCTAGTCTGTAACAGCCAGTCTGCTGTGTCGCTCTCCCGGATTATCCTATTTGACAGTTTAGGACTGGATAATGAAAACTATTATCGGTTACGAGGTTCCAGACACCTCATGGCGCTGGTCCCAGGAAGAAGGGTTAGGACAGCCTCGTTATTTGGCTAGATTTGCAGCTACAGCTTTAGACACAAGCTGTGAGATTCAGGATATTATTGCTCGATATCAAGCGTTTTACTCCATGATTTAATCAGAGCACCACAGACAAAGCAACAAAGTTATAACATTATGATACTTATTCTACAGGTTCCTCGTCCGGTATGCTTTCAAGCATTGGTGACCGCTCTCTAAGAATTGGAGAGCGGTCCCTCTGGAATTTCTTGCTTCTGTTAGCATCATTCCCACCATCCTCTTCAGTCGATGTAGTCCCCGACCCCTCCCCGTCAGCGGGTAGGTTGAGGGTTGGGGGTACGGGGGGTGCGTCCTGCTTCTTGATCATTTTAACAGCGGTTTGACAGGTGCGTTTTACCTCCTGGTTCCGTTGAAGGTATTCGTCGTAGTAGTCAATGTCCTGTCCTTCACGGCGTTGTCGACGTATTTGTGTAATGATGAGTGTCATCAATGCTGTTGCGTAGAAAACAATGACGATGATGACATAGAGGAGCTCGTTCAGTTGACTGTCTCTGTAGGGCTCTTTAATCTGCAGCTGTATCACAGTCCCGTTGACCACAACAACGGGACTTTTGGCATTGTGGAAGAAAATGGTTCCATTCGGTAAACCGTTCCGAATTGACATCACTGTGAACTGCAGTGTCACACGCAAAGGAACTGGAACGGTACGCGGGGAAATGTCACCACAGTTCAGGTATAGATTATCCCGCCACGGCGACACAACATACTCTCTCGTCGGAAGCCGTCAGAGACACCATGCCACAATAAGCTTATCCCAGGACGACCTGACGTCAGCGATAGGGGTTGTGTGACCTTCACAAAACGAGAAGAAATATAACAAGTCGGAGCATATGTGACGTCCAGTCATCACAACATCGTCTTGGGTTATCAGACGACAAGAACTACTTCCTGTCGTCAGTGTGTGCCCGCGCAGCTGTCACTGATAGGAGCGGAAACCGGACGATGTCCTTCAATTTTATCGTCAACCATATTAGTGCTACGAGCAGATTTTCACTCCATCTGTAGTTAAGACGCTTTTTGGAGAACAGCGTTGTAAACACACTTTGAGGTCTGGAAATCCAATTAAGACGAAGCAAAATGGTTATAGTAGAACCGAGCGATCACTGCTACAGGAGCATGCGAACACGCTAGTATTGATCGGACGGTTTTATCGATCCCGCTTGCTACCGCGAGTTCAGGGAACCAGATGATACCAATGCGCGTAGCTTGTTAACTGTCGTGTCTCGTATGGTTGTGGGTAGATTTAGATTCTATGGTGACAGTATGTGACAATTATTCTTAATGCATTGTTTGAAAGCTGATGCATTCAATAACACCATACGGTTAAACCACGCATCCTCTCGCGTGAGGATTGACGGGTTGTATTGTCGAAATATATTGTCGATTTAAACGTCTTAAAAACAGACTCACTGTACTGTGTTGGGACGTCATCGGATTTATGTCCATAATAGGGCTACGTATCTAGATGACAATCCGCCGAGGCGCTGGAATTGGCTGTATAGAGTTGCGGCCTTTGGACGTGCCAGTATTTGATGATAGTGGGTTCGAATCCAAGATTCATCCTGATTATCATTCTTGGTTTGTCGGCACCCTGTACTTGCCCCTTGGATTCATCCAGTGGTAAAGTTTAAAAAAGACTGACATCATTTTGGAGTTTAGTTTCTTACAAACAAGACGCTTTGTGCAACTTAGATTGTCAAGTAGACTATAAACAGAAGTAACGTCTATTAACGTAATAACACATAACGTGCAAAACAATAGACAGGGTGTTGAGAGTCTTTAGAAACAGATTCCATGTTGTAATGAGGGCAAAAAAGCTGTGAAAATGATCTGACTAGACCGTTGAAGATCAGCGGTGACACCAGGTGTTTGCGCAAAGGATATGCATGTACCGGAAGCAGCGCCATTATAACACTTATCCCAAATTGTATTTACAGCCCGACGCCGCATAGCAACTCTCTCCTTATGAACAACCCAGACAATCCGTCCAGATAAGTTCAGAGGATCCGCTACTTGCAAGAAAGAAACGTTTTGAAACAAAACAAAATCTCTTTCCCCGGCGACAGCATAATCCATCACATCATGTTTTTACATTTTTAATCAATATTACAGGCTATGTGTACTTATGAGTGACAGTGTATTGGTAACTGATTGGTGAAGAGGGTCAAATACATTTTAATGTTCATAAAAATATCGTTAATCATACGATTCGGTCATATCATGAGCAAGCATCCATCAATCTCTGTAAAACAGAGATGGCGCCTGGTGTCTGAACGGTAGGCGTCTCTTGCCATCAGAGTTGCACCTTCACAAACACATTCAAGCCCAAGTCGCTCAAAGTACACGGGGAAATATCACACAAGTCAGTTGTAAATGTCAACCACGGGTCTGCCACGAAACGTTTTGAAACATTTACTGAGGCCTTGAAAGCTGTAAACGTGATCAAAGACCCTTAGACTCCGCCAGAGCCGTCTTACCTTCTTTGAAATCTTGCCACAAAGAGCATGCTAGAGTCTATCTAAAAAGTTGTGAAATATAGTCCGAAAGGTTGGAGCTCCTGGAATATTGCACGGAATTATAGGAAAGCTGACTGTCGAAATGTGGAAGCAATTCCTCTTGTCATACATGTGTGTGCAAAGCGTTTGGCACTGTGAGAATCTTGATTATTAGATCTAAGTATGAAGCAGTCTCTATGGTTTCTTCTATTTCTAGTGGGTAAATCACCCGTGAAGGTCCGGGTTAGAATGAACCTTCAGTAACCCATGCTTGTCGTAAGAGGCGACAAACAACAGGATCGGGTGGTCAGGCTTGCTGACTTGGTTGATACATGTCATCGGTTCCCAATTGCGCAGATCGATGCTCATGCTGTTGATCACTGGATTGTCTGATACAGATTCGATTATTTACAGACCGCCGCCATATAGCTGGAATATTGCTGAGTGTGGCGTAAAACTAAACTCACTCACTCACTCAGGTGCGTAAATCAGTGGAAAATAGGCTATTTCCTAGTACTGCAACGATTTGGGCTTATCGATATTCCTCTCTTATTATATGAGATTATCGATATAACTCATCACCGATATTTGGTCTCACACTAACTGACTCCTACCACATATTCGATCTTATTGATCCAGAAATAGATGTGTGGCGACGGTCCACTTGACGGTGTTTACAGCAAACTGACAAATGGAATGAAGAAAAACACACAAGAAAAGAAACAATACAAATACGAACAATAGCGATAAAATATCTGTAGAATATTTGACTAAACATAGTTCATAAAACAATTCAGACTTATAAGCATGTGTACAGAAACCACTACTATATGGGTGAGCGTATCCCGCCACATCAGTTTCGCTCGTCACAAACACATGCAAGTACAAGGCAATTATTCACCTGCAGAAACCATTGCAGCAAACCATGTCCACATAAGACAAGGTATTTACGTATTGATGAATAATGAACCACTTACAAATGCATTGTTAAATCAAGATGTACAGGAATTTACATAAACAGAATGCATTCTTTCCAGTGAGTGAGTGAGTGAGTTTAGTTTTACGCCGCACTCAGCAATATCCCAGCTATATGGCGGCGGTCTGTAAATAATCGAGTCTGGACCAGACAATCCAGTGATCAACATCATGAGCATCGATCTACGCAATTGGGAACCGATGACATGTGTCAACCAAGTCAGCGAAACTGACCACCCGATCCCGTTAGTTCGCCTCTTACGACAAGCATAGTCGCCTTTTATGGCAAGCACATGGGTTGCTGAAGACCTATTCTACCCCGGATCTTCACGGGTTGCATTATTTCGAAGCATACAGATGAATACATGTACATTAACCAGGTCATCATAATCAATTACATTCCATATTTTGATAAACTGATAAATAAGGCCACGCTATTTTGTAATGTCATTGCAAGTGATCAGTGGTTTTGCGACAAGCCTTTATGTGTAGGCTGGCTGAGAATAGCTGCAACATTGGTGATGCGGTGTTGAGCGTCACTCACTCCATGTATAGCGGTGTACGTGGTTGGTTGGTGGTTGGTTAACACCACATTCAGCAGAATTCCAACTAATTCCAACGAGACTGGATCAGACAATCCAGTGATCAACAGCATGAGCATCGATCTACTCAATTGAGATATGATGACATGTCTCAACCAACTCAGCGAGTCTGACCACCCGATCCCGTTAGTTGCCTCTTACGACAAAGATGGGTTACTGCAGACCGATTCTAACCTGGATCTTCACGGGTCCTAGCGGTGCACAAGTGGATAAATACAGTTAAGTTCGGTTGTAACGAACTCAAAGGGGACACTTATTTTAGTTCGGTAGAATCGTAGTTCGTTATAACGTAATTCGTTATACGTAGTTCATTTATATATTAACTTAGTGTACGGAATACGATTTCGTCATGGCAACGAACATTTTGTCGATCGATGTAATCTCTCTTTTTCAAGCAGTTCACAGTGAAACGGCGTCGTGTAAGTGAGCATTGTACAATGCACATTATTAAAGAAACACGGATTGCAGAGCAGGGTACGGTCACACGACTGGCCCAGTCGTCAAGGGCACAGTAATTGTGAAGTTTGTCTTCTGAGCACGCCAGACACCTATCATAGTTTGTTCAAATCCAGGTTCTTTTTTATTATGTTTTTATGTTTTTCAGCACCAGATCCGTGCTTGTGGGTTTCACCAGAGTAGTACACGTCTGAGCTCTTAATCATTCCGGATTTTCATCCCACATTAACCAGACACTCCCTTATATTGCTTGAATACGGGTTGTGCATGGCGGCCTTGAACCCAAGCCAGTTTCATTACACCATGCGACAATATCGCGTGGTCATTGTACCAACCAACGACGTATAGTTCTAGTATTTTGTGATTGTCTCACAGACAGCTTCGGTGTTGCTGGAATACCGGTGATTTTCGGCGTTAAACAATATTCATTAACTCACTCACATTCAGAGGTTTTCGTATGAATTGGGAAATGTTATCAGATTCTTCATGCTTCTTCTTCATGACATCATCGTGAAAGCAATATTGTGATTTGCAGCAAGATTCTGAAACTGATATAAGCACCCGTAGGGAACAAAATTCCGATTAGTTAAAATATTACAAAAACAATATATAAAGAGACGAAGTCTATACGTGTGCCTTAATATTCTTTTCATAGCCAGCTGCGACTTCTAATGTACACGTGCCTTTGCTGCAAATTACGTTTCCTGTAAGTCATAAACCAAAGCATGTTGACGAAAACCCAATGTTTGAGAACACCAGATAACCATATACCTGCTCAGCGAAAGAAACTATACACTTAAAAACTGGATGTTATTAAACTTTATAGAATCGTAACACATCACAATCAGAGAGCACACGTACCACAACGTTTGTTACAACCGAAAGTACTTAAGTCCCATCTGCGTCAATAGGTCGTTGGACGATCGAATACAAGTAATTAAGCAGCTGCGTAGGCATGCTTCAAGCTGGACCAACAGTCCGCCAACGTGTAGGGTATTGAACTGATACCCGACGTCTTGATCAGCTACCACATGCAGGTGGTCGATAGCGTTCCACCATATAATGGGAAGATTAGGTTTATCCGGAACGCAGGAAGACGTCATCGTTCGTGACTGCCACGACACTCAGAAATGACCTGAGAAATGTCTCTATTCAGATAGTACTGCTGTCGTTGAGGCTGGTCTCCTGTCATCGAAACCACATCAGTTGGACGTAACAGAACTGGGTCTCCTTTCACGAAGCAACCTTTACTAAGGTTAACCTTAACTCCCATTCTTTAACATTGCTCTAAGGTTACCTTAGTGACTTACAATCACCTTAGTGCTTTGTGAAAGGAGGCCCGGAACTCTAGGTCTATTCACTGAGGAATCGATATCCTGTCTAGACTTCACAGATCGTCATGTCCCAAGGTGGCCATTGCGAAGTGGAGGAGAAGAATGTTAGTTTTCCAACATAGACGAATATTACCCCTATGGAGGGGGTGCAAATGATAATTTCAGGTGGAATCAGTTAAGCGGGGAGAACCTATATCCATGTCCTGTAGCAGGGTACGACTACAAGTGTTTGTTATTGGGAGCACATTGTGTTTGGCCGGCCG